CAAGCTATTAAGATGTGTAATTAATAGAACTTCTGGTTAAAATTTTATGAAGAATGTTGTTCTCCATCAGGATCATTTCAAACCTGATGAATTCAGCTCTGTGCTTTTCATATCAATTTAGATTAAAGAAATAATGTTTGGACATTGTGGTCATTAACCTGGCAGTTGCTCTAACAAGTGCATTCATTGCAAAGTGGGGAAACTTTAAGCTGTTTTGGTTAGGTGACTGGCAAACAGCATTATATTTCTTGCCTCTTCAGGAATAATCTTTTTAGATCTCTTAGGTATACCATAAATATTTCTATGAGATTGCTTTAGTAATCCATGAGCTAAGAAGAACTTTAGGAGGCACACAGGAGTTGCCTTCTGGGTAATATAGTTGTTACTATGCATCTTAAGAATAAAATACAGAACACATGTGCAATGGGTGCTGGGATGTAGTTTGGTATTTATATGCAAGGAATGGAATTTCATTTAGAGATAACCAGTGAGAAATTATAGGCAGGAACCCTTCTCTTTCTAAGGATAACTTTAAAATAGTTGAATGTGAAAATCCTAATATTCTGCAAAAATCGTTCTCATTCATATACTTTTTTCCATTGAAAATTTAAATAAAAATAGCACATTATTGACATTTGCATAGTATACTTCAGGAAGAATTGTGGGGCTTAGGGACATGTGTGGGAGGGAGACTTTATCATTTGCATTTGAGTCTAATTAAATTATTTTCTATTCAAAATTTAAATGAAAAACAACAACAACAACAAAAGAATTGTATGTGTGTTGGCTATGCTTTCTCACCTCCAATTTATTCCTCAATACACTGAAGCAGACTTCCTTAGCATGCCATTAAAAACTTAAGTACTTACAAACTACTTTTGTTGCCACTTGCAATGGTCACTTTTCAGGTGTCAGTTTATCTTCTGGATAGCATTTGACCCTGCTTACTACTTTTGCCCTTGAAATGTTCTCTTGGGTTCTAGGGCAATACTCTCTCACAGTTTCCTTTGACCTCTTCTCACTCTTTGATGTAAATGTTACAATCCCCTGGTATTGGTCTCATGTTCATACCTCTACTTCTGTCTTCCTCCTAGGTGAACACATCTGTTTTCATTGTTTAAATATCATCTGTACACAGATAGTCTTGCTTTCACAACACAAACTTAGTTTTTCTCCTAGTATTTCCTGTCTCATTAAATTTCCCCATCTCTTTGTTACTTGAACCAGAACCTGAGGAATCATCACTTTTCTCAGCCACCCTCTCAGTCACGTCTTATCCAAGAACAAGTTCTGTTGTTTCTACTTCCAAAATATGTCTCAAAGTATCATCCACTTTCCCCATCTCCATTGCCACCAGACTAGGCAACTCTTCCCTGAACTATTGTAGTACTTTTCCCATAGCTCTTCCTATTTTTGTTATTGCTACATCATACTCTCAATATCTCTTTCCCATACAGTAGCCAGAGTACTTTTTCTTTCATTAACTTAGATCAGAGAATGTCATACTTCTGTGCAATGGCTCCTGTTGCACTTAGCAGTAGACCTTAGCAAGACCTATAATGTGTTGTGTGACTCTCCAAATTAATTTCCTGTATTTTTCTTCCCAGTTGGCCATACTGGCCATCTCTGAGTTCCTGGAATATGGCAATCTCTTTCCTACCTCAGGACGTTAGTACATTCTGTTTCTTCCTATGGGAAGCTCTTTCCTTGCCTTTCTCATACCTTAGTTCAAATCTCTCTTCCTCAGAGAGGTCTTTCCTGTCCAACCCATATAGAAATGGCTTTCCCCAGGTATGTGCTATCATAGCACTTATGACATTATGCATAAGCACTTTGAGTTCTTTTGGGGTTCTGTAGTGTTTTCCAGCAGGTTAAAGTTGATGTAGAAATGGTGAGAGGACAGGAAAAAATGTTACCAGCAAGGGATAAGAGACTGTATATCATTTTCAAACTATATGAGCAATAAAGGAGACAAGAACAAATTCAGGAAAGGACTAATGATTATTATCTTGGCTCAAGGGAATTGGCAGATGGGGGAATGATATCCTTTGAGACAAATAGGCAACCATTTACCATCTTGCAATCCCAAAAGATACCTAATTACCTCTAGCAGCAGCATTCATTACAGTTTAAATATGGCATATTGCACTGGATTTTGAACACAGTTAGAACTGTAGGAGGTCTTTAGAGTGTATCCAGTGTATCTTTCCTTTTTCTAATAAGTGAATCAAGAACTGAAGTTAAATGATCTTCCCAAGGTTATTCCACTACTGGTTGGACTTGTTGGAGTTTAGACTCCAGATAGTATGCCTTCTGCTCCAGGGGGATTTCCACTACATTCTATTACTGCCTAAGCTATGAAATTATAAAGGCAAAGGAATGTGAGAACTGTATAGACCCAGAGAAGCCTTAACAAAATTCCCCACCACCCCCCCCCCGCACTATCTCTGGAATTATAGGAGCATATCAGATTTTTATTGTTTATTTTTTTACATGAAGATTTTAACTTTCCTTAAAAAGACAAACTTTTAAAATATAAGTAAGGCAATCATTTAAAAATAGAGAATAGAAATTGGTAAAAATGTAAAGATAAAGATCATCTACAAACTTCTCCTCATTCCCTGGAAAATAGCATTCAATGTCGTATCTCATCTTTTTAAGGATATTCAGAATAAGAGAATTGTCTTCTTTAATCTTGAGTCCACCACCCCGCTACCAAGAAATGACAAAAAGAAGAGCGGGGCTTAAGTTTCTTATCTCTACAAGTTCTTCTGGAAGCTAAGACAGGGTATGACAACAAAGTAGGTACATATTTTAGGCTTTAGTTTGTTTTAAGACATCTTCACAAAGACCTCACATGTTTTTATCTGAACGTACAAAGTAGGTGATAATCTTTTCTTTTTTTTTTTAAAGTCTAGGTCTCTGAATACATGAAGCTTGTTCTCAGTTATTCATCTCATTTGATTTTAGCCTTATGAAATGGATGTGTGGGTGGGCTGCTATGCTTTTCTTTTTGTTGTTGTTATTTTTTCCCTGAGCACAAACACATTTTGTCTGCTTAGGATCCAACTTAGGAGCTTGAAGGGGAGGAGCCCAACTGAGAAGTGATGCTGAAGTGTGTGTGGGTGCTGATGAATTAGACTTCCAAACAAGGAAAGGATGACAAAATTAATTTTAACTCTTTTTTTAAATGTTTTTTTTTTCCCCCCAACACATTTTGTTGTTTAGTCCCTGGAGAGTAAAGTAAAATTATATTGTTTCTCCAATATACCTTGGAACCAATGAAGAGAAATATAATGAGTTGGATGTTTTTGTGTGGATAAGTCATTGAAAGTACCAGGACTTTCCTCCTCAGGTCATTACATCAAAATCTTCAAATATTGAATTTAGAATAAATGCTCTGCTCTCCTTGTGGTTAAACAGAAAGCTTTTGAGTATAAACTTCGTAATCAGACAGATCTGATTATGAGCTGTCTCTTCTTGGGCAAGTTATTTATTTGCCTGAGCCCCAATTTTCCTTCACAGTGTGATTATGAAAATTAAATGAGACAATTAGGCAAATGGTTTTGCACAGGGTCTCTGGCTCAATAAATATCTCCTGGCAAGTGAGAGGATGGGAAGGAGGAGGTCAGAAAGGGAGGGAGGAGGTTTCGAGGATGGGTTATGAAGAGGGACTGGAGAGCTGCTATAACTCAGGTTTTAACCACAAAAATTGCTTTTTTATATCAAGTGATATTTTTTTCATTGTGACATTGTACAGTTTCTATTGTTAAAAATTTTAATTTTAGGGTGTAATGATTAAATATGTTGTTTGTGATGGTAGCAAATGTGAGTAACAGCTCTGGTATTTTAAAAACTGCAAATCCCTCTTAAAGCCTAGTAGACTTTGAGCCTCAGCCAACATCATTCTATGTAGTCAAATACTTGTACTTTTCAATGACCTTGGAGTCTTTAGTGTTGCCCCCCCCCATGCCCCCTGATGTGTTTCTTTGCTTAATCAGGAAAGAAGCTGAACTTTTCTGCCACCCACTGCTTCTCAATATATTTGGATGGCTTTCTTTGAGTTGTGCCCAAAATAACATCTGATCTGAAAGCCACACTAGGAAATTCAATCATCTATGAAAAGAAGAGTAAAAAATAAAAGCAAAGTCAAGCCCCTTGAAAGTTCAGGTTCAGCTCTGGAAAATATAAAGGAGATTTGGGTGAGTCTATTTCTGGAAATCTGACTGCTCTGGCACAATGTGCTGAACAGTGAGGGGGATTCTTTTGTGGCTAATGTGCACTTAGCCTTGATCCACTATGTCAGCCCTTTAACCTGCTAGGGGACAAAGCCCATCTCTGCTGCCTGTCCTATACAGGGGCTAATCTATCACTTGACAGTTATCCCTAGTATAATATACTAGAGCACCTACTCTGACTTTCTAGATCTGTTAGGTCTTGGCAGACAGGCATTTAGAATCCAAGGCAATACATCCCAAGTGATTCTAAAGTTTATTTCTTATTGTTTGGTTTATTTCTCCCTCTTACCAATCAGTGTAATAAATATACTTTTCCCTTGGGGACATTTCCCTGCATCAGGGAATTCATATGCTTGTTTTCCACACTCTAATGAGACTTCTTCTCAGGCCTACTGTGAGAGAAACATAACAAGTCATGACAGGACAGCATGCAAGTGCCTGCTCACATTAACATAAGCAGTAATGTGAATGGGAGCTGCTGCTGCTGCTCCTGCTCCTGGAACTACAACTTCAGACCTCTCAATTCGTGCCTTCTTAAATCCAGTGTTGACAGCTGGTTATGAAGCATCATTGAAAGTCTCTTGAAAAAAATCAAACAAACAACGATCTCATCTTATTTTTCTCAGGGCTTCTGGATTTGTGTGTACTCAATTCTTTTCTGGTTTTCCTATTTGGCCTTGATTTAGTTCCTAAAACGATATAGGTTCCATTATATTTATTACGAGCAGACTCCAGCTCCTAATAGGTCCATCTGCACTTTTCTTACCTATAGTTATGCCTACGGGCACATTGAGAAAATAAATCCTGGCAATTATCAGCTCAACTCAACAGAGAACAACCACCAAAAATCCTTTCATTTGGAATTATCTGGCTGTTTCCAGGCGAAAGATTTCATTTCGCCTTGACTACAGGATAATTGCCTCATTTTTCCACTTTGCTTTGCTAGTGGCCTAAATGTTACTCTGAGCTTTGAATCCTTTGTCTGGTCTCTTGTTCCAACTATTTTGCTTCAAATGTTTTTGCTCCTCTCCCTTTTATCTATTAACTGCTAACAAGGAAACTAATACATATTTAAAGCTTTCTGGTACATGTACCTTCTGTCATTTTCTTCTTTATTGCTGGCTTTTAAAAATATGTCTATTCTTCTCTGGATTATGTAGGAAACACCAGTCCTTTAAAGAAGAAAACATTGGTTCAGATAAGCTCAAGGTGCAGATGTGCAAACAGAAGAAAACTTTGGCAGTTGGTAAAGTTGCCTTGATATTATGTTGCAGGGAAAGACTCTCTAGTGACAGTCGGTTTTATACTTTGGAGTGGATAGTTGGGGTGAAGTAGTGGCAGGCAAATAATATTAATATGTCAACTGAGCTTGGAAGACATCAATGGAAGTAAAAGAAAAAATCATGATTGGTCTTCCCTAAATCCTTTGGGCATATTATGCTATACAATATGGTAGCCACTAGCCATGAGTGGCTATTTAAATTTAAATTGATTAAAGTTAAATAAATTTAAAAATTCTGTTCCTCAAACACATCGACCACATATCAAATGCCGTAGTCATGTGTGGTCAGGAGTTAATGCATTGGATAGCACAGATATAGAGCATTTCCACCATGGCAGAAGGTTCTGTTGACAACACTGCTCTAGTCTACTTTGCATAAGTTGTTTTCTATCCAGAGATATTGGCTTCCCTCATCACTGTTTCTGCAAAATTTACTAGTCTCTCTGAAGCTTAACTCATTCTCACCTCCATCATGCATTGGAAGATTACTCCATACTGCATTTTCCAGTTTTCATATTTCTTGGGCAGCATTTGTAGAGTTTAGAAAATAATATGTAGTCATTATTTTGTGTTAGCCCTACATTTTAAACTGGATTAAAACCTTCTTAAAGGCAAGAATTATATCTTGTAGTCTTTATAGCCCCTCAGTGCCCTCTACAGCTCAAGACCATATTATTATTATCAATTTTTGTCAAAGCATACTCCAGAACTAAGCTCAGCGATTTTACATGTGTCTTCTAGCATGTGGACTCTCGTAAGGTGACATTCATAATTTATTTATTGTTGTAGCCTCAGTGCCTGACACATAGTAGGTGCTCAATAAACCTAAAACAGGAGAAAATGATTTTCACAACAGTGTGAAATAGGTATTATCTTAATTTTTACAAATTCAGAAATTGAGGGTCAGGAAAGTTCAATAATTTGACGAGCCACAGTACCGATAAACAGTGAATATATACTCCTCAGTTTTCCTATACTTGGTGTCTGTCTCATCCTCCTTTCCGGAATGGTAACTTTGAGGGATGAAGAATTCTGAGTAACATATCAAAACGTTACTTTCTCATCATTCAATTAATCAAAAAAATAGAAAATCTAGCTCAGATTCATGGGACGAAGGTATAAAGAAGAAGGAGAAGTGTGTGCAAACAGTGGG